ATTACAGAAAAATCCCACAAAATTCCAGAAAATAATTTTGTAATTCTCTAAATCTCCTCAAAATCCCACACAATTTCTGAAATATGCCACAAAATTTCCCAAATCTCTTCAAATCCTACAAAATTCCCAAAAATAATGCGCAAAATTCCAGATAAATACTATGAAATTTCCTAAATCTTACCTAAATCCCACAAAATCTCACAAAAATCCCACAAAATTCCAGAAAAATCCCACAAAATTCCCTAAATCTTCTTAAAATTCCATAAAATTCTAGAAAAAATCCCACAAAATTTTCCAAATCTCCTCAAAATCCTATAGAATTCCACAAAAATCCCACAAAAATCCCACAAAGTTCTCCAAATCTCCTCAAAATCCTATAGAATTCCACAAAAATCCCAAGAAATTCCCTAAATTTTCTCAAAATCCCACAGAATTCCAGAAAAAATAAAAAAAATCCACAAAAATCTCACAAAATTCCCCCAAAACCCCATGAAATTCCAGGAAAAAACCCACAAATTTCCCCAAATCTCCTCAAAATCCCACAGAATTTAAAAAAAAACCCATAAAATCCCATGAAATTCCAGGAAAAAACCCACAAATTTCCCCAAATCTCCTCAAAATCCCACAGAATTTAAAAAAAAACCCATAAAATTTCCCAAATCTCCTGAAAATCCCACAAAAATCCCACAAATTCCCTGAGTCTCCTCAAAACCCCACAAAATTCCAGAAACATCCCACAAAATCTCCTCTAATTCGCACAAAAGTCCAGAAAAATCCCACAAAGTTCCTAAAATCTCCTCAAAATCCTACAAAATTCCACAAAAATCCCATGAAATTCACAATTTTTTCTCAAAATCCCACAGAATTCCAGAAAAAAAATCCACAAAATACCACCAAAATCCCACGAAATTCCAGAAAAATCCACAAAATACCAGAAAAATCTGACAGAAATATTTTAATTTCTTCAAAATCCCACAAAATTCCAGAAAAAATACCACAAAATTCTCCAAATCTCCAAAACAATCCCACAAAATTCCATAATAATCCCATGAAATTCCTATTCTGAAATCCGCAGGATTCTTAGTGCATTTCTGCAGTGCTGAGCCTCTTGAGAAGGTTCTCAGGCGGTGTGCAGGCTTCTTTGGGGTCCCTATTTGGGCTCCAATTGCAGGAGATGGGTTTGGGAGTCAAGAGATGACTCAGTATGAGTTAGCTACTCGTTCCATTTTATTGCAGTTTCAGCTACATTTTTATAGTATTTTGGAAAGGTAAGATACATTTTACAGATTTCTCATCCTAAATTCTCATCCATTCTTCATTGTCTTATTAACACTTATTCTTTTTCATATCTTTGTTACAATGTTGTGCCAAGGACTCATGCTAACTCAAAGTCAGGGTTGTGCAGGCCTTCCAAGGAACCATGGCCTCGGAAAAGCAAGCCATTCTTCAACAGGGATTGGGAATTCAGGAATGGGGAATTCTGGGAAATCAGGAATTGGGGAAGTTGGGAATGGGGAATGGGGATTTGGGAATTCAAGGGAACATGGGAATTCAGGATCAGGGGATTGGGAATGTGGGATTGTGGGACAGGAGTTTTGGGGGGAGGTGGAACCTCAGAATTTGGAGGGATTTTGGGGTTTTTAGGAGGTGGAAGCCTGGAATTTGGGGGACCCCCAGTTTTTTGGGGTTCCTGGTCTTTAGGGATTTGGATCATTTGGGGGAGCAAGGCCGGGGTTTGGTAGGCTATGGAGGGATTTTGGGAGGATTTGGGATAATTCTAGAGTCATTATTTTTATTTTTTGGAATTTTTGCCAAGATTTTGGGGGGATTAGGGGTGATTTTGGAGTAATTTTTTTCTTTTTCAGTAATTTTGTGTGGTTTTGAGAAGATTTAGGGAATTTTATGAATTTTTTTTGAAATTTTGTGGGATTTTGAGAAAATTTAAATAATTTTGTGGCATTTTTGTGGAATTTTCTGGGATTTTTCAGGAATTTAATGCAAGTTTTTTTGAATTTCATTGGATTCTAGTGGAATTTTGCGGGAATAATTCAAAGATTTGGGGAATTTTATAGGGGTTTTCTAGAATTTTATGGTATTTTTCTGAAATTTTGTGAGAATTTGAGGAGATTTTGTGAGATTTTTGGAAAATTTTGTAGATTTTTTCTAGAATTTTATGGAATTTTAAGAAGATTTAGGGAATTTTGTGGGATTTTTCTGGAATTTTGTGGGATTTTTGTGAGATTTTGTGGGATTTAGGTAAGATTTAGGAAATTTCATAGTATTTATCTGGAATTTTGCGCATTATTTTTGGGAATTTTGTAGGATTTGAAGAGATTTGGGAAATTTTGTGGCATATTTCAGAAATTGTGTGGGATTTTGAGGAGATTTAGAGAATTACAAAATTATTTTCTGGAATTTTGTGGGATTTTTGTGGGAACTTTGTGGAATTTTTGGATTTTTGTGGAATTTTGTGAAATTTTAAGCATATTTTGGGAATTTCGTGGGATTTTTCTGGAATTTTGTGGGATTTTGAGGAAATAGAAATAATTTTATAGCATTTTTTTCTGGAATTTTGTGGGATTTTTCTGTAATTTTGTGGTATTTTTGTGGAATTTTGTGGATTTTCTGGAATTCTGTGGGATTTTGATTTTTTTCTGGAATTTTGTGGGATTTTTCTGTAATTTTGTGGTATTTTTGTGGAATTTTGTGGATTTTCTGGAATTCTGTGGGATTTTGATGGAATTTCATAGCATTTTGAAGAGTTTTGGGGAAGCAGCCAGGGCAGATCCAACCAGAGACCCTCTCCTGATTTAATTCCCAATCCAGGAGCTACAGCAAGCATGGGTGAAGTTATGGGGGCTGGCAGGGAAATGTCACTGTAAGATCTTGCTGCACTTGGCTCTCAGCTCCTTCTCAAGAGCTTTGCCTTCAAGGGTAGGAACATCTTTTCCTTGCTGTGAACTGCAATTCCAGACTCTTGGAGTGTGTGCCATGCAGGACCACACAGACTGGGATTGCACAGACTGGGATTGCACAGACTGGGACCGTATGGATCAGCACCAGAGACTGGGTTCACATGGACCGGGACCACATGGACCGGGATGGCTGCACCAGAATGATGGAACTGAGTTGGTCCCGCCCCTCCCAGGGCTCCCTCCCATTTCCCTCCCAGTTCCCTCCCAGCTACCTTCCCGGTCTCTCCCAGCTCTTCCCAGTATTGCCCGGGGACGCGGCCAAAACTGCCTGGAGTGAATGCGGTGGTCCCGGAGAGATCCCAGAATCTTTTTTTTTCCAGAATCCTGGAATCCCACAAAATCCTTTAATTTTTCTCAAAATCCCACAAAATTCCAGAATCATCCCAAAAATCTTCTCCAACTTCTACAAAATTCCAGAAATATCTAACAAAATTCCAGAAATATCCCACAAAATTCCAGAAAGAATCCACAAAATTCCAGAAATATCCCAGTAAATTCCACAAAAATCAAAAAGAATTCACAAAAATTCCACAAAATTCCAGAAAAATGCCACAAAATTCCCTAAATCTCCTCAAAATCCCAAAAGCATTGGGCCATTTGAGCGCTAGAAGAAGGCACATCGGTCATAGTTAGAAATGAGCTGGGGGAATGGGAACAAGGGTGAAAATTGGTTTTGACAGGACGCCGGTATGCAGCAGTCAGAAAAGAAGGTAGCGTCAAATGGTGTCGGCTTAAGTCTATTAAACCAGACCTCCAGAATAAAGCTAATGAAAACTGTAGGCTTCTTTCTACAGGAATGGATTTGTGGACGTCCTCGTAAACTGTAGGCCCTAGCAACAGAAGAGGGTGACAAGCCGGCAAATGCCTTGAAGACATTGGAGACTTCCATG